GAAGTAAGTGTATGTTGGCGTTTTAGTGTGAGAAAGACAGAGAGAGAGATAAGAACAAGGGTTGAGTGGGTTGAGGAGTTTCAACACGCGAGCTGCTCTGGTACAACTTTTTTTTTTGCTGAAGCGCTTCCATACCGTATTCGTGCGTGTTCTGCCCCCCCCCCCCCATCCCTTTCTCTCTGTACCCGGCAACCCACGCCACCCACCAATCATCACGGCCAAACCAAGGTTTCCGAGCCCGCTGGCTCCCGGCTGGCCCCCGACAAGAACGCTCTCCTCGTGGGCTGCAGGGGCTTCGCCTTCCTCGAGGTAGCGGTAAGCACTTTCGGGGACGGCTCCGGCCACCGCCGCGGATGCGCGGACTTCGGGGGTCCCCTGATCGATCCGGCGAGGGTCCTGGCCAACATCGTCGCCTCCTTGCATCACCCGGAGACCGGCGAGCTGAGGGTGGAAGGGGTTTCCGATCTCGCTCCGAAGGAGGGGGAGGCTCTGGCGGAGGCGATCGGGGGCCTCCGGTACGGCGAGGGGCAGCTGCGGCGGGACACGGGTTACTCTTCGGAGGTGGCTTGCGCGAGGGGGGTGAGAGAGGGCGTGGTAGTGGTAGATAGGGACCAAGAGGGGAAGGTGTGGTGCATCGCTGTCCCCACACGCACTGCTGCTGTCGTTGTTGCTTGACCTTGTTATGGCGTACCAAGTTTGCTGCTACTCCGAATACAATAAATGATACTTCAAATATCCTTAAGGTTGTTACTGCTGTGCCGCTCGGAATCCTAGCAATAGACCCGCCGAACAAACTGGATTCAGAACACGAAAAATATGGCGGGGGGGGGGGTGGCAGGACGTCAGAAACCCCGCTACACGAGAGCCCGTTTGCGGGGGGAGGGAGGGATTTGACGCACCAGTACAATCGTGAAATTTTTATATTTGATCTCCATACACGTATCTCTCTAGAAACACGTTCTGGAACAACGCGGGTGGTACGTTTCTGCGCTCAAAATATGTTCGACCGCCACACAATGTTTTTTTTTCACACGCCACATTTTTTTTTTTTTTTTTAGGTGTGCTACAAGCCCGGGGGCTCCTCCCCCGACAAGTCCACCACCACCACCACCATGCTGGCTTCCGTGGCGGAGCAGCTGGCGCTCCTGCCCGCGGTATCGATTACGTCCATCTCAACGACGCCTCCTAATTCTTCTTTTGACGGTGGCGGCGGCGGCGGGTCGCTGCTGGGGTCTAGGTTTCCGTCGACGGCGACCGCGGGGATACACATGTGCCTCCCCCCGGGGGCCGAGTACGCGTCCGCTGTGCGAGCGCTCCAGTCGCACTGCGCCAAGGTACAAGCAGTAGTGCTCGTGGCCGTGTGGGGTTTGTAGGATTGGCATCTATGTAGACGTGTGTGACGGGGGAGTATTGGGGTTGACGCGTGTGTATGATATGTGTTTTGTTTTTCAGAGTCATGTTGTGGGAACTCCAGAGTGGTTTGTGGGAACTCCAGATTGGGATTTCAATCATTGCAGATGCTTGAAGCGACGACGCTCGATGCATGCGTCATGGAAGAAACAGCAATAGTTGTGACGTGGTTTCGTGTTCGCTCAAGACACCCAATAGCCTGTGTGTCGACGCAAACCAATGGAGCATATAAAATGCCGACGCTATTTCATCCCCCAGGGTCGTCTGTCTGCCTGTCTTGGGGAGGTGATTGTTGGTTCCTGCGTGCGAAAAGCACACGCGTTCAGCACCGCATTTGAAGCCGAGCTTTGTAAACCTTGCCTGCCGATGATGATGATGACGGGCGTCCCTCCGCTGCCCCCCCCCTCCCCCAGCGTGCCCCGCATGGCGCCAAGGTTCGGTTCGACAAGGTTCTCGGTAGGGCCGGCTGGCTCGCCCCGACCTCGGGTTCTCCCATGGTCAGCGGCGTTTTGGCATCTCTGAGGGAAGAAGACGACGGCGAGGCGGGGGGTCCGGTGGAGGGGGGAGGGAGGGAGACGGTCCTGGCGTCGGACCCCGGTTTTTCGGCCATCCCGAGCGCGTTTGCGCGGGCCCTCCCCGACTCCGCGGTCGTCGGTCTCGGCGTTAACGACCCCGAGGTGAGCGGTGGTGGTGGTGGTGGCACGTTCTTGTTGTTGTTGTGTTGTTGTGGTGTTGTTGTCGTGCATGACTTCAGTCTCATGACTTCTGTGCCGCCAGCATGGCACCCAAGACGCATCCACACATACGAAACGAACGCACGTCCAAAGTAGCATGCACAGCAGCCATGGTATACACGTGCAAGTGATCTTCTATGGTATCTGTCTTTGATCCGGAGAGTAGCGTACACCCCGATGATGATGAGAATGATGGTAGCAGTGAAAGCAAGGAGGATGATGGTCAAAGCACTCCAAAACGAACTACTAGTCGAGTGCAAGGTAGCTGCCTTCGTAGACGTGTGCGGTCTTCTCTGTTGCTACCGTTTCTGGCTTTGATCCGGATAATAGACTAATCTCCCCCATTCCGCCCCCTCACGGCGTTCCAGTTTACTGGCATTTAGAAGTGTTTTTGTGTTTTCAACCGCACGAAGACTGACGTCTTTTCATTGGTCAGCCGGTTAGCGCGGTCGATGCTAATAATAAACAAACACACACACACACGCACAACCCTCCGCCACCACCCATGTGGCAAGGAAGCCTAAACCGCGTTCGCGTTTCGTTTTTTCCGCTACATGGATTAGTTTCTTCCCGTAGGGCAACCGGTTAGCGCGATCGATGCTAGTGAAAGAAAGACCCACACGCACCAAAGATCAAGATCGCCGTCTCTTCGATGGTCAGGCGGGTAGCGCGGTCAATGGCTACTGTAAATAAACGTACGCACACGCACGGAGACAAGCACACCCTCTCCCTACATGCCTCCAACTCGTTGACCCTGTAGCTATTTACTCTGGATGGTCTTCTCTCCCTCCCCGCTTCCCCTGTACATCGATACCACCCAAATTTTCGTCGTTTTTTTTTTCTTTGCCTGTCTTCTTGCCTCTAATATCGCTGCCTGTGTAGCTATTTACTTTGGATGGTCTTCTCTCCCTCCCCGCTTCCCCTGTACATCGATACTGTACCACCCAAGTTTCGTCATTTGTTTTTTTTTTGCCGGTCTTCATCCAGAGGTAGCAAGCAACGATCGGTCCGCAGATCAACCTTCTCAACCCCCTCGCCTCCCCTGAGGTAGAACAAACCTTCACCTTCTCCCACCCCCTCGCCTCCCCTCCCTTCCTGTGAGGCAGCGAGCGGTGCGCAGACGAACCTTCTCAACCCCCCCCCCCCCGCGCGCTTGGTGATGTGAGAACCTGGTCCGGTGAGAACCCGGCGTGCTCCGTCCCCGCTTTGTAGGGATGCGAGGTCAATGGTCTAACGACTACGGCATGCACGACTATGAGTACCCCCCCCGCCCCCCCCACCGGCTCCCACTACCGACGTTCCTCCCACTACCGACGACGTGCCACCGACGCCCCCCAAGTCCAAGGGAGGCGCGGCGAACGAGAGCGTGCTGGTGGACGACCTCAAGGGCTTCGTGCGGAGCGCCGTGCGTCTGGTCCACGGTGTAGCGGAGAGCGGCGGCAAGAAGGAGAAGGCGGGTTCCTCCTCCGGCGGCGTGAAGGAAGGAGCGGGAGAGGATGCTCCGACGGCCTACTCGAACCGGTATGGGCGGTGGGGCGGCTAGCGGATGTCGTGGTTGTTTCTCTCTGCTTACGTGTCCCTGTGTTTTCCACAGTTCAATTTCGGAATAGTTAAACGCGTGCGTGTGTGTGTTTTTTTTTTGTTGTTGGCATCGACCGCGCAAACCGACTGACCAATGAATAAACGCCAGTCTCAGTGCGGCTGAGAAGAGCAGATGCTTATCCTGAAGGCCATGATCTGGGATCAACCCCGTGAGGGTTTGCCATGGCGTGGGCCAGCTACTCTTCGGGTTACAGACAGACACGGTAGCAGAGGCCTCAATATGTTCTAGTTTTGTTCGCTTCGGCCCCCTTACCATGGCATACTGTGTTCGCCTCATCGTTCTCTCTCCGGCTACATGCATTTCCGTATACTTCCTGCCTCTTCCGCAGGGACAAACGCGTCAAGAATCATGCAAGCGCCACACATCTCCTTTTTTGAAGTACGACTGCGTACCCCCCACCCCCCTCCCATGTCATAGTGTTTGAGTGGAAATGAACCCTCTCCCCCTCTCAGAATTGTGACTCGTCACCCCCCCCCCCCGCCGCGTGCCTTCGGAAGGTTTATCGACGACCTCGATCGCCGCAACGCCGTGAACCAGCTGAGGGGGGGGAAACTGTCTAACGTCTCTTCCCCGGCGGGATCGGCCAACACAACCCCTAGGGGAACGAACTCAAGGGGTATCACCCACAGGTAAAATGCGTCTTGTTGTTTGTCGCGGCAGTGGCGCCGGTCCGTTGGTGTTGTTTTTCTGTGCTCGTTGTGAGTATCTCGTCGTATTTTGTCGCAGGTAAATAGGTGTTGCTCTTGTTGCGGCTGCGGGGTCTTTCTGTCGGTGATGCTTTCTGTGCTCGTCGTGTCTCTCGTCGTCTTTGTCGCAGGTAAATAGAGGTGGTTGTTTTTGTTGCGGCTGCGGCGTCTGTTTTCTGTCTGCCTGCGGTTGTTGTTGTTGTTGTTCTGCTTGTTGGGTGGCTGCCGTCTTACGTCGCTGCTGTTGCTCTCGCGGGCAAACAGGTGTTGTTGTTTGCCGCGGCTGCGACCGACGTCTGTCCGTCGACCGTTGCGGATATTTGGGTGACTCTCGTGTTCATTGCTGCTGCTGCTGCTGCTGCTGCTGCTGCTGCTGCTGCTGCTGCCTTCGTTGCTGTTCGTGTGTCTTTTTTGCACCCAAGCCAGAGGTTTTGATCCTCTCGGCGGCACATCACCTCCACCCATATCAGCCCTACCGATACGCCAAGCAGCTTTGCTTTGATCGCACGCTATTGTAGACGAAACCCCGGCTAAACTGGAGTACAGTAGTACATGGAAAAAGAAACGGTTGCACCAAGGGGGGGTTCCGCCGAATCGAACACTCGTGAATGGAGGCGAACGGTAACCCCCCGCCTTGATTTGACCGTGTGTTTGTGCCCGCCTCGGCCTTTGTGCGTACAGTAAGATGCTCGAAGCTATATATAACTCGGTCCTGATAGTGGTAAGAAGTTATTCGGTGGAAATCCTGCTGCCGAGAAGAGCTGTTTCGTGTGCGGCGCACATCTCCTGACCCCCCCCCTCCCCCCCCCACGTGCTCCTTCATACAAGCAGCGGCGCGGGCGGAAGCCCTGTAAGGTCACGTTCTCCCGCATCACGCTTTCCGTCCGGATTCAGCACCCTGGAGCGCAACCTGGAGCGGGAAGGCGGGGGGGGGGGAGCTGGCGGTTTCGCCGCGGGCGGTGTCGGCGGGGGGCCTTTGACGCCCAATGCGAAGCACCCGCTGTCTCCCAACCGGCCGCCCTCGAGGTGGGCACTACAATTGCGCGCATAAGCGCGGGGCGGCGCGGACGAGGACATGGCGTGCACTAGGGGGTGTTGGTTGTG